CGGTAAATGTGAACCTCACTTAGTCGGAAGCACCCTTTAGTCGGGATTATACCAAAACACCTAGGTACCTAATTGAATATTCTAGTTGTAGGTAAGTTTTCCAACGAAGAATTCAATTTTGTAATGTTGCTCAGTTTTAAAAATAAACAATGAAAATTCAGCAGAACCAATATTGGGTTTTTACTTATGAGCTTTAATATTAAAGTGAATATAACTATTATCAAACATAAGGTTAACAACATTATGTGTGTCTGTGAGGTAGTCTTGTACCTACTATATTTAATTTTTTAGCTGATTGTGACTTGTGAGTGTGTAAAGTATTAAAATACAAAAACGTTGGAAAATCACTTAAAAACTAAAATATACCTATCATGTAACACAAATGCTTACACGCACACAGATTATGTTCTTACATTATTACGTTTGATAGAAATATGTCAATTCGCTCTAATATTATAGACTATAGAGAACAATACAAAATTGGTTCCAGTGAACCCAAATTTCTATGTTATGTATTTTAAAGACGGTGGAAACACATACGGGTTTGGAGTCTTCTTTGGTGATAATTAACCGTTGGACATCCCATAGGTATCTCTTATTGCTTGGCTATACTCTCTTGACAGAATGTTTTTGTGTACATAAAAGGTACACGTGCCAGAATTTTTCAAAGAAAACACGGATTAAAGATTAAACTACTAATGGAAATTTATCATAGGTACTTTAAACCCGTGTGGTTCGTATTAAATTACCTTTTGTGGTAAAAACTCTAATAACTGCTTTTAAAATTTTTAATTTTCAATCCCTAGCTTGACTATAGATATAAAAATTGATCTATGTGTTATGTTTAAAGTTATTAATTAAAATACAAGATATTTTAAGGTCAGTTTGAAAAAATCACAACATGTTAATGGATTCTGAAGTGAATCTATAAGCTATAAAGCCTAGAAAGTTAACTGAGTGGAGGCCTATTATTTTTCTATACGCTTCCATACAATAAGGCTAAGGGTAGGCTAAAATGTCCTGGTCCCACCCTGTAATTTTATGTACACATAATAAATATTATTTATAGAAATGTATGTATGCAGATGGTATACATTTTTTAAAAATTGTTTATATTTCCATCCAACCAAACCTTAACAAAATTATATTACTGTTTTTATTGAGATGATTAATATTTTACGACAACTTTTATTTAAAAAAAATACAATCCGGACTGCCTGTTGAACAGGTTATCTATAGTGACACAGTATACAAATCATACATTACATTATTGGGTTATGTGAAACATTGTAAGTTTCCTGAGATTTAGGTTGAATAGATTCTAATGGTACATAAAAGAATTTTTTCTTATAATAAAATAATACAATTTTACTTACAAATTTCCATGCTATTTGTGAATATTATAGTTTGTGTATTGTCTCCACTGAAAAAACTTTAGCGAAATAAAATTTTAAAAATGTAATATGTAATATTATATACCTTTACTAAATTGCATAGTTATAGAAAAATAATATTAAAATAACATTTTATCGTCTAAATTTATTATCATTTTAACTAACTTTTGAATGATCATAATATTAATTGTTATAGTTTTTATTAAGTGTAGCGTAAGATTCGTGTACAATAATATATCATAGGCTTAAAGAAAAAAGAAAAAATACTATTTATTTTTCACAAAAAAAACTGTATGAACCTATTTTTTTTACATGTTAAACAAAAAAACTATTTTTAACATTCTCTCATTATTTTCTCCATATTTATTGCTTACATAATTAACTTAACCTATGTATTTGATAAATTCATAAAACTAGTAAATTGTAAGTTATTTCATAATTTTTTTGATACATGGTTCATATGTTTAAAAAAATGTAATATATTATTGTGTTAAATATCTAACTATTTTGGGGGGAGGGTGCTATAGGGGTCAATCCTATTAGGGAATAAAGGTAATACGTGTATAATGCTGAACACTAAAAATCATAGACATCGGGCCAGCAGAACAAAAATACCCTTAGTTTAAACATATACAATTAACATATATAAATAAGTATGTATAATTTATTTATACTATATTAATTAATTATAAATTTAAAAATAGGTATTATATATTAAATTGAAAATGAAAATTGGCTATTTTAAGATGTGTCCATAACACCTAAGGAAGGTCCATTTTCATTCAAATATTTTTTGGACAAAAATTATGTTCATTATCCTTCAAAAATTTTTTATAAAGAAAAACTAAATATATTTATTCGACTCAATATTATGAAACAAATCCAAAGATACATTTATTGTAAAATAAGAAATATTCATATTCCAAAACATCTACAGACTGCCGAGCAAACAGAACGAGAGAACCGATCGACAATGTCATTATTAAATTTCAAAACGAAGACATTTCTAGGTTATACAAAAAGAAAAAAAATTAGTCATCCATCTCATTTTTTTCTGGTATTAATTTTTTGCTGAATATCTTAAAATTATATTTGAAAAAAGTAGTTAATAAATATTGACAATATTATATTGTTAATAATACATAATTCATAGGTAAATTATTTGTTTAATATTTATTTGTTATAACTATTATATTTGTGTTAAACATAAACAGTATTTGTATGCTAAATTCTTTATTTAATTAAAATAGACCATTGAAGATAACGGTATCTTATTTTTGGAGGAAAATAGCTACGGCCATGCCTATAATATTAGTATCGTTGTACGTTCAATAATAACGGCTGGTACTATGTGAACTACTAAAAGCTGTAGGGCGTTTCATTCAATGTTCAACGACATGTTCTACAGTGCTCATCCAAATATTTGTAGGTTCATCTATGTTTTGAAAAATATACATTTAGATACCAATATACAACTGAGAATTACTCACTTAAATATTCACAAAACTAATACAATAGACACAGAAATATGCATTAGAAATACTGTACCACAATTAGAAGAACATCAAATTAACAAATTAGAATTTATGAAAAATGTTTCAGCTCAGTTTTTCTCAGAGCCACAATATGCCACGAGCGACATAATTGGAAAAAAATTTAAATTAAAATAAAACAAAATGTTTAACCTACCTGTAATAATGATGCTTCAGACAATCCTAAGTCTGTGTACAAATTTGAAAAATTAATCATGTTAGAACAATATAGAACGATCCCATCATAAGTAATATTTAATTTTATAATTTTTATTGCTGGAAATAAATAGTAGCTACAGTGCTACACATGGCCTCGAAAGGTTAGATATAGGTTATATTGAACTTTGTCTTGCTTCTTAGTATAATAAACTGTCTGTGAAGATGTGTTTCTTCATTATTGTCACTCTACATGAGCTACACATTTTATTTGCTAATATACACATTACAATAATCTAAGAATACAATCCTATAAAAACAATTTTATGCGGGTAATAAAATGATTTTATTTGAGTATTACAAAGAAAAAAAAACAATAAAAATATTAAGTATTATTGCTTGTTAAAAGTGAAATGTCACTTTTTAAATGGTAAACATAATGATGTGTCTTGATATGTAAGGGTTTATTATAAAATTTAATTCGGACAAAATGTTTTCGAGGGAACTGTTATTTTTTTTCATAAACTCAAAATGTTTTGAAAATCGCCTTATTAAATAAACTTATTCTATGGTACCAGTGACAAGTCACTAACGAAGGCAGGCTGGTCATACGGAATAGAATTATTGTCATACGGAGCTTGACTAAGCATTCGAACAATAAAACTAATCAATCTGCCTCCACCTCATTACCAGTCACCAGAGCTCCGTGGCTTGTTTTCAATGACTGACGAATACTTAATTCAAACTCCCCGCACATGAAAACAATTAACGAAACTGCCCCACAATATTCTGCAAATGGTTCCATTCAAAACTCAACACTCACTCAAACTAATTCTTCGCAAGACCTGTGTTATACGTATCGACCTTATCACGGACTAGTCAGAAATACTATACCTGAAAAAATCACAAATGACCTAGTTACCGTCCATATTTACCGGCATAGGTAAGTATTATAGCCCGTTTAAAATAAAAGTGACTCTTCGTTCCACCTCAGGTTTTTTCTGATTTATTTTTCTTTTAAACTGTATTTTTCTTTTCGTAATCTGATTTACCTATAGCTCTGTATACATTGTAAATCTGTACAAAGCTGGTTATATTTTATAAAAAAAAAAATGCACTTAATACTTTAATAGCACGTTGATTTGCGCGTCTAGTGATCAACTTTGATTTCTGATAAACGTGTATAAAATATGTATAATAATAAAATTATCAACAATGCACGGTAAATTGTTTTATACATAATTAATAAATTATTGACTGTACCTAACGATAAAACAATAGGTGAATTCAAATATTTGCATATGAAACTTATATGAACATTATATTGCTTCAAAGTAAAGTATGCTACGTAATAAGTTTTATCGGAAAGGTTTACCTTTTCTAAGGATTTATTGCAACTATATTTGTTATAGTTATTTATAGTAAAACACGATTACGATACTATTTATCGCATCTATTTCAAAGAATATTATACAACACACGTTTATTGGTAATTAAATAGAAACACGATTGAGAAAAAAATACAATTATTTTAAGAAATTTGCATGTTAAAAATGTAACGATAAAAATCTGTAGTAGGTAAGAATAATGTATTATACTTCTTACTTAATACTGTTGTGTGTTAGGTACCTCAGTTTCATCACAGCTTTAGCATTCATGTTACATACACAAACTCAATTCTATATATTTTGAAACAATTGTTAAAGGATTATAGATTTTCAAGCTAAATTAAATTAGTGAAATAAAAAAACATAAAATATTATAAAATTTTATATTTTTAATGTAAAAAACCTTATAAAAAGTGTGCTTAGCAATATTGACTCGCAGTTCTATTTTTTCTGATTACTAACCGATTGAATAATTTAAGCTAAAAAAAACACTATTCTTGTGCCTACATTTTTTGTACTTTCATTTGATAATGGGTAAGTAAAAGCTTAATGATGTTTATTGAATATTTCTCATTGGTTTGATTTTAATCTGTATAATAATATATAAATAATACTAATCAGTATTTGTTTTCATCAATCGTTATTAATTTCTTATCGATCTCTATTATTTAAACACAGTTCAAAAATTGAATTAATTTATCAATGATAAATAGATGTACCATCTTATTTTACTTTATACTAAAACATGTGACTTATTCATTACCTAAAATAGTAATATTTTTGATCATTTGAATGTATACATATGCGTGCATGTTAATTTATTTTACAATTTATAGTACAATATAACGTAATCGTTCACCGATAGAATAGGTATAAGGTATTCATGATTAGACTAAGTGGAGGTGCATACAATTGTTGAAATATATTTTCTTGCATTCGCAAAACGAAAAAAATTAATTTTCATAATATGTGTATTTTTTCTGTTAACAGAAGTGAATTCAAAAGTTGTACTTACTTTTATACTGTGCTTCATTACGTTGACGTCTGGATTCGTTATTCGACCATTTGAAAACATTAAGTTCGATATTCCTGGAGGTGATAAATCGTTAGACCTCGAAGTAATAGGCAAGAATATAAACGACGAAAACCTGCCTACGACCACGTCGACAACTGATTCGAAAGCCTCTACTATTCCACATACTACAACAACTACCGTCGGCTATGATAAGGATGATACGGATGATACGGATGAAAGCTATGACGAAGATCGGGATACTCCATCTCAATTTTTAATGTTTACTTACAATCACATTAACCAATGATAATAGTTAATATTATTGGTGTTATATTATACGCGACCATATCTAAAACAGAAAACATGTAGTTAATTGGCACTCGTTTTATAATGTTGAAATTATCGGAATTACGAGGTTCAGGAAGTTAACAATAACAATATTTTGATATTAAGAAACCCTTAATCATATCCATAAATCAGTATAACTCGTTCCTAACATTTCCCTTCAAATTGCATATTTATTTATTTATTACGAATATGCAAATTAATTATTACGAAGTAATTTACAAAACGACAAAGCAATACGAACACTATTGACAAATAGTAAAAATAAAATCGATGGTAAATGTCCACCTTGGGGTACCTCAGACGTCGACGAAAAAATGTTTAACTTGACCCTAAATAATTTTACTCGCTGTTGCCAGTTCGTTAAAAAAAAACCAAACCACGAGAATAAAGGTCTTCCAAAACCAGACGCTTCTAGGACTTTCAAAAAAACTATATGATTTACAGTGTCGATGCTTTGGCTAAATCCGTATAAACATCAACTTGGGATCAGTTTCTAAAACACTCAAATACAAAATAGGAAAAAACTAAGTTGCATGTAGTTGTTGATAAACCCGGTGAAAACCCGTAGTGTTCTTCAATAAGAATATTATTCACTGATGGTTTAATACTGAGTTATTTTGAGTTAGAAATTCATGAGCAATTTTCTTTTTCAATCTAAGAAATAAAAATTGAATACAAGATTCCTTATAAGCATTGTCCACCTTTATCAAAAAAAAAAAAAATGTCTTCACGAAAACCAAATAACATTTTAATGAGAGTTATATAGGAGTTCACATTTTTACAACGTAGGATATTCATTCGATTTTTCATAGAATTATTTTCTTATTTTGTTTTAATTAAATAAACAATTAACCGTACATACGTGAAATTTTTTATCAATTCTTATGCTTGATAAAATGTTCAGTCCTCTTGAGTTGTTTAAGGACCTTTTCAATTTTCAATTTTTTCAGTTTGCTTTTCTATAAATGTCAATAAAATGTTATTTGTTGGGTCAAAAAGCTTGAAAATTTAATACAACAGTCCTGATATTTTTTTTACAATAGCAGTTCAAAAACATCAAAAATACATTGGCAAGGTTTTTTTTCGTAAGCATTTGAAGTTTCAATTTTGATAACAATTATTATTAGGAATATTCAATATACACGTGCAAAGATAACGCAATACACAAGCAACTTTCATACTATAATTATGAGAGTATTATGAATTACATAAAATACACAATAAAATCAATTTATGTAAAAATTATAATTGTTATGTCTTGTTATACTAGTAAAGCAAGTGTAGACTTAAAAAGTCGACTATGTATTTTTTTTTTTTTGTAAATTAATTGTTACATTCCGTACATTGTATAATCTTATGCTGATCGATGGATATTAATGTGCCTACTCAACATTTATTGCTTAATCTCATCGTCATAAGTACTCAATAAAAATGTATTGTCGTAGAACGTCCTTCTGTTTTATTCGATACTGGTGTAATACGCTGTGCGGCTGTGCACCGTTAGATGACGAGCAACCTTTAGCTCTTAAACAACAATACAATTTTGTATATTACACCTCTTTACTTATAGCACATGACAATGATGCCATACAATTTTATTTTGCTACTTACAAACTCTTAAAAGATGAAATTTTTTTTAAATGTTTCATGTTGTTTTGATTATTAATAAGGAGTTATTAATACTCTGTACAACATAATGTTCATTTATTAACATTAAAAAGATTTTCAAAATATTTTATTAAAATTTACTTATTTAATATTTTTATGAATAATTTAAAATAACGAAAAAAAGTCCTTTTATGAATATTAATGTAAAGTAAAGCAATCATAATCAAAGATCATAACCGTTTTTTCGAAAAATTGATTTATTGCATACTGATGATTGTATAGCTACATATTTTTACTGTTTGAAAAATAGAATAGTCTATAAATTAATAATAGTTTATAAATAATAATAAATGTACAGCCCTGGACATTTACAAAAAATATTTTTTATATGTTAGTTGTTATTTAACAACAATATTGATAAAATAAAAATCGAATAGAGAATTATTATGGTGCCTGTTATTGAACTACGTATTTATTTAATTAAATTATCAACACAATATTTATATTAAATTAATTCTGTATTTAAATATTTTATATCTGACTGAAATAATAATAAAAAAAAAATCATTTCGATTAGTTTTTAAAACATTTAAGCTGTTTAAATAAAAATGTATGAAACTGGAATAGATACTAGCTTTTTATAATACCTGTTCCATTGTTTTATTTCTTGAACGAATTAAAAGTATATATTATTAATAATATTACACTCGAATAGAAAATAATTTTTTTTTTTGACGACTAAGTTTCATAGCTAGATCACATTATAATCTTGTTTTCTATTATAAGATTCCTTTTTCTATTATTCGAAACTACGTATATATATAAATATACAATATACATATAAAAACATAAAATCTCTGTATAAGTAACCGTTTGATATTTTTATTTAATTTATTATAATTTATAATTTATAATTCACCATGTATTATACATATAGCAAAAGCATGACAGATTATAGAAATGTTTTTATTCAAAAGTATTTGATATGCTATGTAATAGTCGGTTTGTGTTGTACAATTTAGGTAATAGTTTTCAAAATAATAAAATCATATGATGGTGATCCAATAAGAATGCCAATAATAGGTTTGTAACACTTTGCTCTTGGTTGGAGAGTTACTATAAACCTACGGCTAAGCTTTAACAGTATTTGATAATCAAACAATTTTTTATGATTCTTATAATAGTTTTCGTTAATTCTTAGTCGTAATAAAATCGTTGTACAGTTTTAGTATTGTTTACTATGTATTTTTTTCAAAGCATATTTTTTTAGTAACAATGTATGTACTAGGTAAGTGATTTTGTATTTTGAATCAGATTAATTTTTTAAATATTTTTACGTTTATTAAACCGACAGATTATTGGTACCTTGTTGTTTGTGATTAAATTAAATACGTATTATATTTAAAACTAACAATTTTACAATGGATTATGATATATAGTATATTATTAATATTATTGTTTCATAGCAAGATTTATACGAGGCGGAGAAAATGTTATGGCTGTCTGTTGTAATCAACAATTAAAAACACGAAATACTTTAAAGTTCAGACATGCCAACATCAGAGTAACGCCTAAAAATGCATGTTTAAAAGTGAAAATTTTTTTACGAATTTAAATATTTATTGCCATATTAGTGTTCATATACTTAAAATTATAGTTTATGTGATTCGTCTATTTTTATACTACCTAAGGGAAATAAGCTAATAAAAATACGAATTAATAAAAATGATTCTTGGTTTTAACTTATTTTATGTATAAACCGCACGAGGCAATGTTGACTAGTCTTTGGAAAAAGGATAATGGAAAGTACGGAGAATGAGAAACACGTCTTATTGAAAAACTTTTCACCAACTTGAAATTTCCAACTGAGTCGGGGGTTTAAATTGTTATTAAAATGGCGTCGGCAATCAGACACTTATGAAACTTCAGCATCGGTTCTAATAGTTTGTATACTTTTGTTAGGTAACTAAACTTTTATAAGTTTTTGAATATATTTATGAAGGTCAATAATATTTACTGACACTTTATTGGTATTTCTACATCATAAGACATAATATGTTAAACGTTATTTATTAAGCGATATTTAAAATTGTTTTTTTTTAATATGGTACCTCTTAGAGTTTATTTTCACATTTAACATGGTTAAAACTTTAAATGTCGATGTAATTTTAATACCTTATGTTTGAATATCACATAATACTAGTAATTATCCAGAAACATTTTCAGAAACTGTACTTTCACGAACTGAACCAATTTCCAAAAACGTACGTTATTTATTAAATTTTAAATATTTATCATGTGTTTACTTTTTTAATATTTAATTTTATATATTAAATATTATTTCTCTCCGATGAAAGTATTTATTAAATAATTATCTAAAAATGTTTTTCATGATTATGTCTATGTGGACTGTATTTAATAATATCGGGTTCGTGCAATCTTTTGTTTAGTCTTTGTAATACACAGAGAATGTAAAATAGTTTAAAACAAAGTTTTAAATGCTTTTGTATTTTGTCTTGCGAAGCCTAGCCACCTTATGTATTACTTAGTAAATTTATAATTGGGTGGTGATATACAAGTACCTATCTAACACAACAGCAACAACGTTGTCAGTGTTCTTTATTTATAACTTTAAATAACTACTTATAATTCTAACAATTTACCTCTACTCCTTAAATTTGTTTTTAAATAATTCTATAAACATAAATTAATTACAAGATGTTAGCAAATAAAGCCAATCGTAGATACAAACACAACTGATTAATTCGCAAATCATATCATAATAATATGTACACTTACCTTTTCATTTAACCGAAATATCTTACAGTAATTTATCGGTTTTGTCCTCTACATTAGTAATGGTGTCCAATTGAAAGGTCAACGTTGTACGTCGGATGGATTGTGATAAACCAAATACTGTAACAGTGAGATGTTGGTGTGTTGACTGTTTTGTCCGCGTAATGGGCTGCAACATTAATGTTATGTTCCTCTCACCCACTTTTATTGTTTAAGGGTGGGGCATCTAGATGGGTGTTTATATATGGAGTGAACCCATTTAAGAGGATAACGAATAGAGGTGGCGTTGTTTTTGTGATTGAAAGTCCCCCGGTGTGAACAATATAGAAACGCAATAATTTGGCAGTTTTACTTTCTACTCACCAAAGCTATCGGGTGTTACGACCCAATAAAGAGGAAATGAAAACAACGAACCAAATAACGGATTTTTTCAACCTTCTATTTCTTTATTCTTCCATATAGCTTCCAAATCTTTTGTCCCTAGTTGCGTTGATTCAATAATAAGCGTAACAAGACGAAATCGAAATACGTGAGCAAAGTTTGATTATTAACGCT